ACACGTCCGGCTAATTTTTGATTATTGTAGAGGCGAGGTCTCGCCAAGTTGCCTGGGCTGGTCTCGAGCTCGCAGAATCAGGCAATCCACTTGCCTCGGACCCCCAAAGTGCCGGATGACAGGCTGAGCCACCGAGCCTGGCCCTAAACTACTTTTTTTGAGAGTTGCAGGATCTTGATACAAATAAAATCTTCAGAGAACTTCAATAACACATAACATAGAAAGCAGAGACATTCCAGTTGAAGTCTCACAGGTTTCTGAGAAATCTGCCCAAGCTTTGGGTTCTGTTTTTTCTGGGGGGGGGGGGAGTCAGAGTCTCATTCTGTCACCCAGGCTGGAGTGCAGTGGAATGATCATAGCTCGCCACAGCCTTGACTCCCTGGGTTCAAGCAATCTTCCCATCTCAGTCTCCTATGTCGCTGAAACTATAGGTGTACACTATCATGCCTGGCTAATTTTTTATTTTCTGTAGAGAGGACATCTCACTATGTTGTCTAGGCTGGTCTCGAACCCCTGGGCTCAGGCAATCCTCTCGCCTCGGCCTCCCTAATTGTTGGGATGACAGGCGTGAGCCGCTGCGCCCAGCCGGTCCCCCTTTTTCTGACCTGGAGGTTGGCCGTCCCCTTTGCATAGATCATGGTTCTGACTGTCTCAGGTTTCAGTGCGTCCCGTCATGTCCTGCCTCCCTGAGACTGTGTGTCCTGCTTGGACTCCAGTGTCTCCCGAGTCTGTTAATTTTCTCTGGCAGACCCTGCTTGAAATGATGGACCTCTTCTAGGTCTGATGGAATTCTGGTTTCATTCTCGAAAGGGAGACTTCGAGTCCTGGAGGGCCCCGTACCCAAACTCCAACTGTCTGGTGGTGAGTAGACAAGAGAATCCGTGAGAGCAGAGGTTTCTTGAGGGTGAATGGGCAGGGTGTGAGAGGGCTCAGGACATAACGGGGTGAACTCAGAGTGTCAGGGTTTGCAGGGGTTGAGATGCCCAGGACACCACGGAAGACACTAAGTGACCTGCACCAAGTATTCGTGGAGTTCGTGCCCAGGGAGGCACTCTGGGAGATGGCACAAGTAAGGCAAACTTTGTCCCCAAAATCTCAGTCTCTCTAAGGGTACAGGTTGTAAGCTATGAAGCTTTAAAGCACTCCAATCTGGGTGACAGAGACCCTGACTCAAAAAACAAACAAAAAACGGGCCTATTTTGGCAAATAACAATTAACACGCACACACAAGCACTGTCTGAAGGATACAAGTCAAACTACTGACAGAGGTTACCACTGGGGAGTGGAACGGGACTGGGGGGAGTATGTAACATGCTGGCTTTTTTTTTTTTGAGTTGAGGGTCTCACTGTCACTCAGGCTGGAATGTAGTGGCACGATTATGGCTCACTGCAGCCTCCACCTCCTGGGCTCAAGTGATCTTCCTGCCTCAGCCTCCCAAGTAGCTGGGACCACAGGTGCCTACCACCACACCTGGCAAATTTTTTTTTTTTTTTTTGAGACAGAGCCTCACTCTTTCACCCAGGCTGGAGTGTAGTGGCACACTTGTGGTCATCGGAGCCTCAAACTGCTGGGCTCCAGTGATCCTTCCACCACAGCCTTCCAAGTAGCTGGAACTATAGGCATGCACCATCACACCTGGCTAATTAAAAAAACATTTTTTTTTTTTTGGTAGAGACAAGGTCTACGTTGCCTGGACTAGGCTCAATTATTCAATTCAAGCAATCCTCCTGCCTCAGCTTCCCAAAGTACTAGAATTATAGGCCACTCTTTTCTTTATACAAAAAGCATACCTTTTTCTTGGGTGAGGGGATGTTGAGACACGGTCTCACTCTGCTGCCCAGGCTGAGGTGCAGTGGCACAATCATAGCTTTGAACTGCTGGGCTACAGCAATCCTCCCACCTCAGCCTTCCAAGTAGCTAGGATTACCAGTGCGCATCTCCATGCCCAGTGAATTTGGGGTTTTTTTTGTAGAGATAAGGGCTTGCTGTGTTTCCCAGGCTAGTCTTGAACCCCTGGCCTCAAGACATCCTCCCACCTCGAGATTTCCAAAGTGCTGGGATTACCGGTGTGAGCCAGCGCACCTGGGCCAAACCTCCTTTCTGAGAGACCTACTCCAGGAATCCTCCAGCCACCCCGTTGGCCGTCATTCTTTGGGCTCGAACTCCAAATGCACACTTCAAAGCTGAGACAAGGAGTCATGCACTCCTGACCCATTCACTCCTTCAAGAAGCAATTCCTGAGCCCAAGAGCTGAGCTTTACAGGAAGGAACCCAGGCTCCGCCTCTGCCCTGCCAGAATGCATTCCAGTCTTGCCCTCATTCTGACACTGCTTGGTCAGCAGAATGATGGCCACCTTCCCTAAGGTGTCCGTGACCTAACCCCTAGAAGCTGTGATTGTGTTATTTCGTGGCAAAGGGGGAACAAAGACGCAGATGGAATTAAGGTCGCTCGTCAGCTGACAAAAGAGCCTAACCAGGTGATCTGAGTGGGCCCAATGCACCACAGGGTCCTGACACGAAGAGGCAGGCAGACTGGCAGAACCAAAGGGGGCATCCCGAGCGAGACACCCCTGGCCAGCGCTGGCTTCAAAGACGGAAGACAGCCACAGCCGGAGATGCAAGAGCTGGGCGAGGCACGACGATGGATTTCCCATCGAGCTTCCAGGAAGGAACCCAGTCCCGCCAACAGTGTGACTGATGTTAGCTCGGTGAAACCAACTCATTTTAGAACTGTAAAATAATATACATGCTTTTTTTTTTGAGTCAGGGTTTCACTCTGTTGTTCAGACTGGAGTACAGTGGCACGATCATGGTTCACTGCAGCCTCTAACTCCTAGGCTCAAGCGATCCTACCAACTCATCCTCCTGAGTAGCTGGGACTACAGGTGCACACCACCAGACCCTGATAATTTCTTGATTTTTTTTTTTTTTTTTTTGAGTTGGAGTC